CCGCACATTGCGATGTCGCAAAAACCTGCTGAGTGCGCGACTTGTTTTCTCGTTGCGACATCGCAAACGCGCATCAAAATCGCACAAACGATTGCGTGGAACCAACCTGTTGGGGTTTCGCGCCTCGTTTTCTGCCACAACATTGCAATTGTCAACATCATCGCCACAATGGTCAAGTACAAAACCTCAGCCAAGGAGGGAACATATGGTACTTGAAGCTTAAATATTTTCTAGTCCTAACAAGCATAACCTCCAGCAACCTTTCCATGGCGCCTCGTTCCAGCAAGAAAGGCAAGGCCAAGGTTAACGATGACACGGAACCCGAACCTCCGCAGGATCATCCGTACATTGTTTGGATGCGCCAGCAGTAGGCCGAAGGGTTTGAGCGTGGACGAATTCGTCGTGAAGCATGTATTCCGCCATCCTCAGCTCCAGGGCCGTCCCGTGTTGCCGCGCCCGCACCATCTGTCGGAAATGTCAACTTCGGCTCGGAGGATGAATCGTCGGCGTCCCCGTCAGACTCAGACACGGACCTGGAAGTTGAGAAGGACGACGATGAGGGTGACGGTGGCGTTACGCCTAGCGGGTCCAAGAAGAGAGGTGCGCAGAAATCGTCCAAGAAGGTTGGTCAGAAAGTGCGGAAGCGCACCCCCATGGACCATGGAAGAGATGGCTGCATTAGCTGCAGCGAGATGGTACACCAGGGAGGATATCAAGCAGATGCAAGGTAAGCAAGGTGCGCAGTTTTCGAAGAAACTCCGTCAGCATATGCGCAAGGCGTATCCGAACTGGATTCGTAGGAGCGAGGCTATGAAGTAGTGTTGGAAGAGGCTGGAACTGGAATACGAAGACATATGTGAGGCAATCCAGATGTCGGGCGCCGGTAACATGGCGAGGCCCGACCGGTTCACTTTCATGGACGACCTGAAATGTGGAACCGCAGCAGTGAACCCACATGTGGTGGATGGCGGAGGAGCTGGGATGCGGACAGCGGATCCTATGATGACCATACCCCGAGTTGGAGACCTCCCTGCAACTCAAGACCCCAATGGTGAGCTTTGAAGGACATATTGCTATTAACATTGCTGTTTGATAATCCGGTTTAGCAATTTCATTACGACAATCCATTACTAAATTGCAGTCATGACACAAATGCTCAGGCCCAGCCACAGGCACAATCCCTCCCAAGCACCCCGAGGCACCAACACAACACATGGTGGGAACGCCATGCCAAGGAAGTGTGCCCATGAAACAGCCACCATCCAGGGTGCCTCCATGATCTCTAGCACTATGCGCCAATGCAATGCCTCTGTGTTGCCAAGATCGACGAGCTTATCAGGATCATCATTGCCGCACTTGGCGCCCAAGTAGCAGCCAACCAAGCGGCCAGCCAGTTCATAAATAACTATGCCCCTGCCCCAGGCCCGGGACATCAGCAAGCCCCAAGTACCATGAACGACACCACCGGTCACCCTTTAGGTGGTCGCGCTGCTGAAGAGGCAGTGTCTGCAGAAGAAGACTGCGAGGATGGACTGGATGTCACCAATGAGTACCTCAACGAGGACGATGAGTAACCCAGCCCGATTCCGAGCACTAGCGGCAGTGACGTTTCTTGCAGGCCTCATGGATAGCCTTTCTGAACCTTTTTCGCCTTTCTTGCCACTCTTCAGAAGTAGAATTGGGAGTAGTCTCCCACACATAGTCCAGCATGCTTTCTCTTGTCCACCACTTGTTCACGTCCCCATTCTGGTCTAGGTCGTCAGTGTCTATGTAGCTCTCCCGTCTGCCATCAATCAGTGTGTGCATGTTATGTAAGATGATTATGCACCCCGTTCCTGCACAAACCCGCCACAAACGACACTCACTACGACGACTAATGAGTCTCCAGCGCTGCTTGAGCTGCCCAAACGAGCGCTCAACAGCCATCCGAGTTGCACTCTGCACGTAGTTGTAATCTTGTTCCCATTCCTTCATTAGCCGCGCCGTGGTCGCATGGAGGGGTGTGAGGCAGTAATCACGTAATGGATATGCGGCATCGCCAACAAGTTGGTAAGGCGAAAGATCCCCATTTGCCGTGCGAGTATACAAGTCGCTCTTGAAGAACACACGGCAGTCATGGGCAGAGCCTGGGAAACCTACCAAATCATCCCAAATAACCCCAGCCGCGTTACATTTCGCCTGCAGCACCACACTGTATGCCTGTTTCCTGTTAAAATACTCTGCCCTATGATCCTCCATTCCCTGAATCAGAATATGAGAGCCATCGACAGCCTCTATCACGTTAGGAACACCTTTTATGTCTCTGAACTCTTTCTCCCAGTCAGCCATTTCCTCTCTAGTAGGAAAACGAACACACGATGACTTGAAATAGCGTGGAAACTCAACTAAAAAGACATCCACTATTGCATGACATAAGGTTCTAGTAATTCCGAAAAAGTAGGACATGTCTAGGAACGTCATTGCGGTGGCGAAATATTTTATCGGCACCAAACAACAGATTTCAAGAGGGATGTCATGACGCATCACAATGTTTGCGTAAGCTATTCGCATACCTTCAGCCACTACGCAGAGCACCTTGCGTGAGATACGGAAAAGGTTCGCGAACTCGATATCAGACATGTCGGCAATCTCACAAGCCCACATCTTTACGTTCACGCGTCTTCTCTTGCGAACTCTAATACGCCTTAAGACGGTCGGATTGAAATTGAACCTAGCTCCCGTACGGTCTCGCGGAGGTGGATTTTCTGCTACGAATTGCACCCACTGTTCTGCTCCAGCATTAAGGGCGACGGTTGAGACACTCAAAATAGTAGACAATAACTAGTAGGGCGACTAAAGCGAATAATAACGCCACACCATGTGGAGGAGCCATGGCGTTCACTAGACTACAGTACCTACTCTACGTTTATTGGGAAGTAGTAGACAAGTGTGTTCTTTATGCGTTGGTGGTCGCGTGAGTTTGGTGGTGATGAAATTGCAGCTGTGAGGGGTTTGTGTCAGAACATTATAGCTTATGCTTTTGTGTAGGCTATAGTGGGGTATCCCATAGGAGGCACAACCCAATTAGGGTTAGTACTTGTACCCACTTCATTCATAGTTCATTCATTCGCGTTCACTTTTTCACATAGAATCAGAGCAGGTCCCCTCCTAGGGACTGTTCCCAGGGCCCACCGAAGCGCGCCCCGAGGCGCGCGTTCCTTTTTTTTTAGCGACCCTCCGTGTCGCCCCTAGCGGCCCGGTACGCCGCCCTTACCTACGCGGCCCCGCCGCCCTTACCTGCGCGGCCCCGCCGCCCTTACCTACGCGGCCCCGCCGCCCTTACGTCGCGGCCCCCGCCGCCCTCACGTCGCGGGCCCTGCCGCCCTCACGTCGCGGCCCCGCCGCCCTCACGTCGCGGCCCTGCCGCCCTCACGTCGCGGCCCCGACGCCCCACGTTGCGGCCCCGCCGCCCTCACGTTGCGGCCCCGCCGCCCTTACGTCGCGGCCCCGCCGCCCTCACGTCGCGGCCCCGCCGCCCTCACGTCGCGGCCCCACCGCCTCACCTTCGCGGCCTCGCCGCCCTCACCTTCGCTGCCCCGCCGCCCTCACCTTCGCGGCCCCGCCGCCCTTACCTACGCGACCCCGCCGCCCTTACCTACGCGGCCCCGCCGCCCTTACGTCGCGGCCCCGCCGCCCTCACGTAGCGGCCCCCGCCGCCTCACCTTCGCGGCCCCGCCGCCCTCACGTAGCGGCCCCGCCGCCTCACCTCCGCGGCCCCGCCACCCTCACCTACGCGGCCCCGCCGCCCTCACCTTCGCGGCCTCGCCGCCCGTGCCTACGCGGCCCCGCCGCCTTCTCCTACGCGGCCCCGCCGCCCTCACGTCACGGCCCCGCCGTCCACACCTTCGCGGCCCCACCGGTTTCCCCTCCTGCCGAGCCGCCCGAGCAGCCGCCCGCCACGCCGCCCGGTACCGGAGCAGCCGAGCCGCCCAGCAGCAGCCGCCGGGCCGCCTGGCCGCCGAGCCGCAGTTCAGCCGAGCCGCCCAGCAGCAGCCGCCGAGCCGCCCGGCCGCCGAGCTGCAGCACAGCCGAGCCGCCCAGCAGCCGTCGCCGAGCCGCCGGACCGCCGAGCCGCAGTACCGCCGAGCCACCCCGCTACCGAGCCGCCCGACCAGCCCTGTCTGGTGAGCACAGCCCCACTGCTACTGCGTGCCCTTCCCCCACTGCTTGCACTGCTAGTCTGTCGTCATGGCTACCCCTAGTGTCCTCGCTTTTGACGCTGAGGGTCGTGCCATTGACTTTGAGGTCTGGGTCGACGACCTGCAGCTGTTTTTACAGTGCGATAGGGCGGACGGTCTTTCTCTCTTTGACCTCACCTCTGGCGCCTCCCCTGCTCCTGCTGCTGATGCTGATCCCCACTTTTGGCTCTCAGTGGGCCACCCGCGATGCTGCTGCACGTCTTGCTGTGCGTTGCCACCTGCCTACCACTGAGCGCGCGCACTTTAGTCAGTACAAGAGTGCTCAGACCTTGTACGACGTTGTAGTTGCGCGCTACTCTTCCCCTGCCACTGCTGCACTGAGCCGCCTCATGCTACCGTACCTCTTTCCTGACCTTGCTGCCTTTCCTACAGTCGCTGACCTCGTCACGCACCTCCGCACTTCTGACACTCGCTACCGCGCCGCACTTCCTGCTGAGTTCTGCGCCAAGAACCCCCCCCCCCCCATGTACATCGCTCTCTATTACATAGTCACTCGCCTCCCTGACACCCTTCGCGTAGTCAGGGACCACTTCCTCTCAGTCTGTCCCACCACCCTCACTGTCGACCTCCTCGAGAAGGCCCTCCTAGCGACGGAGAAGAGCATAGTCCATGTAGGAGCCTCTCGTGGTGACCCGCGCACCCCCATCTTTGAGGGGTGTTCTCCTTCCCCCCTGCTGCCCTCTGTTGCCTCTGCTGCTGCTGCCGACCTGCTTGGTCTTGAGTCGGTCGGCGCGGCGTCTGCTCCTAGCGGGAGACGCCGCCCTAGGAAGGGCAAGGGGGGCAAGGGCGCGGGTGGAGCTGGCGGGGGCGGTGGAGGTGGCAGTGGCGGTGGCGGAGGGAGTGGGGGTGGCGGTGGGAGTGGTGGTGGGGGTGGTGGTGGTGGTGGCGGCAGCGGAGGCGGCGGCGGTGGCGGCGGAGGCGGTGGGAGCGGAGGCGGCAGTGGTGGCGGAGGTGGAGGCGGCGGTGGCGGAGGAGGTGGAGCCGATTGGGGTAGTGCCCCGCAGCGGAGCGGCTCTGGTGGTGGTCAGCGCCAGCAAGCAGCCAGCAGCAAGCAGCGTTCTCGGGACATCCCCCCCGCCTCAGCAGCTACGTGAGTGGTACAGGCAGCGTCAGCGTGGTGGGGGTCTTGGCCCGTGCACCTACGTTCTTCGTCCGGCGACTAACGCGCGGGTGAGCAGTGTGGGGGTGCCCACTCCACCCAGCGCTGCTTTGGCCGCCTGATGGACGCTTGGCGTCAGCAGTTCCCCGAGGCTAGTGAGATTCCCCGCTGGGGAGAGCTGTCTAGGGCTGGCGCGTAGCGATCTTTGATCTTGACTTTGATGCTATCCTTGCTGCCATGTATGTTGTGACTATTAGTGATGAGGGTGACTGTTACCGGTGTTTCCCGCCTGACCCGGGCATTGGTACTGCTGCGCTAGGTGCTTGTGAGGCTACTTGCTCTAGGTGCCAGTGCGTCTGCACTCTCAGGTACTGGTGAGGCTGCGCTCTCAGGTACTGCGTCGGCTTCGGCCTCCTCACCTTCACACCTTGACTCAGGGGCTTCTCGCTCCTTCTTTCGAGACCGCACCACACTCACGCCGCTTGATCGGCCGGTTGCAGTCTCCCTGGCTGACCCCTCTGGGGGTCCTGTCCTCGCTCACTTCTCCACTGTCCTCCCGTGTCCGGCTGCCCCCTTGGGCACCCTGTCGGGTCTGTACCCTCCCCTCGTTCTCGACGAACTTGGTGAGTGGTGCTGACCTGCAGGATGCGGGGGTTCACCAGGTTTACTCCTAGCGAGTCAAGCGAGGGACCCACTGCTCGGACGCCCCGCACAGGCCGACACCTAGCCACGTTTTCGCGTCGGCCCAGGTCGAGTCTCTACACCCTGACCACTAAGTCTCCTCCTGTCCCTTGCGTCTGGCCAGGTAGCTGCGTCGGGTCAGGTGTTTGCTGCTGCGTCCAGGTCTGGTCTTGAGTCTGCCCCCTGCTCGTGTCGCCTCCTGTCTCACGAGACTCTCTTGTGGCACCACCGTCTTGGCCACCCCTCCTTGCCTCGTCTTCGGGGCATGGCTTCCCGTGTCCTTGTCTCTGGTCTCCCGCGGTCTCTCCCTCCCCTTCCTTCGGAGCCAGGACATTCCTGTGTCCCCTATGTCGAGGGGCGGCTCCGGGCTGCCCCTCACTCCTCCCATTTTCCCCCGACAAAGGCTCCTCTGCAGACGCTTCACATGGACCTGTGGGGCCCGGCCCGCGTCCGTGGACAGGGTCACGAGCGCTACTTCCTGCTGGTGGTTGACGACTACTCGCGTTACACCACGGTCTTCCCCTTGCGCAGCAAGGGTGATGTCACTAGGGTGTTGATCGACTGGATCCGCGCAGCTCGTCTCCAGCTCAGGAGGAGCTTCGGCTCGGACTTTCCTGTTCTGCGTCTGCACTCTCTGACCGAGGCGGAGAGTTCTCCTCTGGCCTTCTGCGAGCCTAGCTGTCGTGCACGAGGCATCCGCCAGACCTTCACGCTTCCGGACTCTCCACAGCAAAATAAGATTGCTGAGCGCCGCATTGGCATGGTCATGGACGTCGCTCGTACGTCCATGATGCATGCGGCCTGCCCCCCATTTTCTGTGGCCGTTTGCGGTTCAGTACGCGGCACATCAGCTCAGCCTTCACCCCAGGGTCTCCCGGCCGGAGACCTCCCCAGCTCTGCTGTGGACGGGGAAGGTCAGCGATGCGTCTGCGTTCCGTGTCTGGGGATCTCGGGCGTTTGTCCGTGACTTGTCTGCGGACAAGCTGTCCCCTCGTGCTGCTCCCTGTGTCTTCCTAGGCTTCCCCCCTGACGCCCAGGGTGGCAGTTCTACCACCCCTCCTCCTCGTCGTGTTATGTCCTCCCATGACGTCACGTTCGACGAGTCCGTCCCCTTCTATCGCCTCTTCCCCTACCGCACTCCTTCCCTCCCCCCCGCCACCGCACTTCCTTGTGCCAGGTCCCACCCCGGTAGACCCCCTTCCCCCTCAGGGTCCTGCCCCTTCCGGTGTGTCCCAGGTAGATGCAGTCGAGCCGGTCGAGGTTGCTGGTGACTCAGGTACTGCTGGGGTGCTGAGCCTGGGGTGCTGAGCCTGAGGGATGCTGCCTCTGGGGGTTTTGAGCCTGGGGGTGCTGAGCCTGGGGGTGCTTGCCTCTGGGGGTGCTGCGCGCGGGGGTGCTGAGCCTGGGGGTGCTGCGTCTGGAGCTGCTGAGCCTGGAGGTGTGGAGCCTGCGGCCACTGGACCTCCCCTTGTGGCGTCCGGCGGTGCTGGGCCTGGAGGTTCTCCGGGTGTTTCGTCTCGGCGGGAGCCACTCTCTCCACAGGAGCTGCGTGAGTGGTTTGCTCGCCGCTGGAGGCGTACTGCTGGAGCTGGCGCTTCTTCGACCGCTGAGGGTGCTGGTGCCGCCGCTCCCGGAGCTTGCTGGGCCTGCGGGTCCGCCTGGAGCTGGAGCTGCTGAGGGTGTTGGTTCTGAGACTACTACTGTCAGTCCTGGTGGTGGTCATGCTGCGGGTGCTGCTGGTGCTGCTGGAGGTCCTGCTGCTGGAGGTGCTGTTGGCACTGGTGCTGCCGGAGGTGCTGAGGGTGCTGGTGCTGTCCCTGCTGTGTCTGGTGCTGCCGCGCGGCCTCGGCCGTACTTTGTTCCGCTTCTCCAGCAGGTTCTTGGTCTTCCTCCTCTCTTAGAGTGTCCACCGCCTGTCCAGTCGCAGTCACAGTTACCTCCGGCCTCCCCACTGCCTTCTCCTTCACCTTACACTGGTCCTACTGGAGGTCTTGCTGAGCGTCGTGAGCCTGCGTCTCGTCCTGTGTCGCTTGTTCGTGCGGCTCGCACTAGTGGTCGCAGTTCGCGTCAGCGTCCTCCTCCTGTCCCTGGCACGCACCGGATGTCTCTGTGTCCGTCTACTGCTCCTCTGCGTGCCTATTTGCCCTCTCCTCCTGAGTCCTCTCTTCCTCCGCTTGCCGACCTTGAGTCGGACTCTCTTCGTGCTGCCAGTCCTACTGTCACGCGTCTCCTTGCTACTGTCGTCACAGACCCCTCCTTTGAGTCCACTGCTGCGTCTGCTCTTGTTGCTGAGCTCGTCGCCTTTGCTGCTTGCTGTCGTCTAGACTACGCTGCTAGTCTTGTTGCTGAGTCTGCGTCTGTTTGTCCTCCGTCCGTCGGGGGTGAGTGTGCTCTTGGCACGGACGTCCTTGAGGACAGGCAGGAGGAGTTTTAGTGTCTGGCTGCTGCTTCACCTCATCTCGCGTCTGTACTGCTTGCCCCTGAGGGAGACCCGGATGCACTAGACATCCGGACTCCGCGCTCTTACGCGGAGGCCGTAGAGGGTCCCTACTCCTCTCAGTGGGAGGCAGCTATGGATGCAGTGATGGCTTCCTGGAAGTCCACAGGCACCTACGTTGACGCGGTTCCCCCTCCTGGGGCGAACATCGTCAGTGGGATGTGGATCTTCAAGGTGAAGCGGCCGCCGGGCTCTCCCACCTGTCTTCAAGGCGCGGTACGTGGCTCGTGGCTTCAGTCAGCGGCAGGGAGTTGACTACTTTCAGACCTTCTCTCCCACCCCGAAGATGACCACTCTTCGGGTGCTGCTGCACATAGCCGCTCTACGCGACTACGAGCTCCACTCTCTTGACTTCGGCACTGCTTTCTTGCAGGGTAGCCTGCACGAGGAGATCTGGCTGCGCCCGTCCACCTGGCTTCACTGGGACTTTCCCTCCTGGCACCCAGTGGAGCCTCCGACGGCCAGTCTACGGTCTCCGCCAGGCACCGCGTGAGTGGCACGACACACTGAGGACTACGCTTGCGGCTCTTGGGTTTGCTCCCTCTACTGCTGACCCGTCGTTGTTTCTGCGCACCGACACTTCTCTGCCGCCGTTCTACATCCTCGTGTACGTCGACGACTTGGTCTTTGCCACAGCGGACACTGCTGGACTCGCCTACGTGAAGTCTGAGCTGCAGAAGAGACACACGTGCACAGACCTGGGTGAACTGCGCAGCTACCTTGGCTTGCAGATCACTCGGGACAGAGCACGCCGCACCATGACCTTGACTCAGTCACACATGGTGCAGCAGGTCCTTCAGCGCTTCGGCTTCACGTACTCCTCGCCTCAGGCCACTCCTCTATCTACTCGCCACTCACTCTCAGCTCTGCCTTCGGATGAGTCCGTAGAGTCGAGTGGCCCGTACCCAGAGCTTGTTGGCTGCCTCAATGTACCTGATGACCTGCACACGACCTGACCTTGCATACCCTCTTAGCATCTTAGCACGCTATGTTGCTCCTGGGAGACACCGACCAGAGCACATGGCTGCAGCGAAGAGGGTGTTGCGCTACTTGTGCAGTACGTCGGGCATGGGGCTAGTGCTTGGAGGGCGGAGTCCAGTGGTCCTCACTGGGCACTGCGGACGCTTCTTGGGCTGACGATCAGGCTACTCAGCGGTCGTCGCAGGGTTACTCCTTCAGTCTTGGTTCCGGCTCTGTTTCGTGGCGGGCTACTCGCTCGTCTTCTGTTCTCTAGGCTCCAGTTGTGAGGCTGAGATCTACGCCGGGGCCATGGCTGCTCAGGAGCTTCGCTGGCTCACCTACCTGCTGACTGACCTTGGAGAGCCGCCTCGTTCTCCTCCAGTGCTGTACGTAGACAACAAGGCCATGCTGGCCTTGTGTCGAGAGCAGCGCCTGGAGCACAGAACGAAGCACATTGCTCTCCGCTACTTTCTTGCTCGTGAGCTGCAGCAGCGTGTGGTCAGTTGCGACTTGCGTACGTGGCCTCTGAGGCCAACACTGCTGATGTTTTCACCAAGGCACTTCCGCCGTGTGATCATCAGCGTTTCTGCACTCACTGGGACTTGTCCAGTCTTGCCTCACTTGCTCACCTCTTGACCTTACTTGTACTCTTGCATATATATATATACCTGCTCTTGCTTGTTTAGACTTATATATACATGTGTCTCCTCCTGCATGTGAACTGGCCTTGTGGCCTTGACCTTGTGGTCAGACTGTGTGGTGACGTTGTGATCCACCCTGAGCTTGCTTTGCTTTGCTTTGCCTTGACTGGTCTTGTGACCCCTTGTTCTCCCCCACTTTGCCGATGGGGGTGTGTCAGAACATTATAGCTTATGCTTTTGTGTAGGCTATAGTGGGGTATCCCATAGGAGTTACAACCCAATTAGGGTTAGTACTTGTACCCACTTCATTCATAGTTCCTTCATTCGCGTTCACTTTTTCACAGTTTGGTCAAATGTGTCGAAGCGCACCAAGTACGTTGCGTAACATTGTCATAACGAATGTGCAGCTGTGCAAATTCCAGGCTTCGCACTCAAAATCGCGCATCTGAACCGGAATCGCTGGTCAATCCAGGTGGACCAATCAAGTTTCGAGTTTGCACTCACACTCGCTATTACTACCCAGACACAACGTTGGCAATCGTAGACACAACCGTCAATTTGTGGGAGGCTGACCCGAAGCTGACACCAGCCAAGAACGTACCCTAAACATCTACGGAGCTCAGAAAATAGCAGGGGCTGAAACAAAAAAAAAAACCCTAAAGGCAGGAACGCAATTCGGGAGGCATCAACCCTAAAGACGGGAAGCATAGTGTTTAGGGTTAACGCCTTGAATGTGGTGCAATATGGGGGGGATCAACCCGAAACCCCCATAAAAGTGTGCCAGGCTCTCTACGGGGTTTTAGCTCGTTTGACATCGTACAAAATACCCAGCCAAATAAATAGAACATAAGACAAGCCTTATCTTGCACGACCAGACTGAAATGATTAACTCGTCGCAAAATGTTTCTTTCATGAAAGGATTCGAAACCCCTAGCTGTAATCCCGCGATTCTGGCTGTAAAGCAAAATTGCACCTGTAACGACGAGATGAACACGTTTGCAGCATTAAAATATCGTGGAAGCGCGTGTAAGTCGATCCATTTGGACGACGTATGGTCGCCCTATCTGCGGTGCGAGTTTGGTCGATGAGATTGAGAAAAGTTCGCGCGCCGGCGCGTCGCTCAGTTTTGCCCCTGAATGGCCAACCTCTCATTCTGGAATCGGGCAACAAAACGGTCTGACGAATCACGATTCACGAGTTTCTGACGAATCAGGTCACGGTTCTGGGCGAAGTTTGCCCGCCATCAGCTCAAAATGGCCCTCAATGACGTTTAAAAACACCCTATCATTGGTCATCACACAAGTTTCCAGATATATTGGAGCATGGAAACCAATCAGACGTGTACTTCCGTCTACACTTGTCCCTACTTCGGATGGCGGGCGAACTTCAGAACCGCGATCTCAGAGAAATGGGAGTCTCTAACCCTAAGGTCACTGTTCTGGGCGAAGTTTGCCCGCCATCAGCCCAAAAATGGCCCTCACTGACGTGTAAATACACCCTATCATTGGTCATCACACAAGCTTCCAGATATCTTGGAGCATGGAAGCCAATCAGACGTGTACTTTCGTCTACACTTGTCCCTACTTCGGATGGCGGGCGAACTTCAGAGCCGGATCTAGGCCCTGGGCGAGAAGGTTAGGGCGGGTCGTGCTGAGTTCGGTTCAATTGACTTCAAAAGGTGGTGCGCAATGGTCTGAAGCGGGTAAAACGTGGTTAACCCCGCTAGACGATCCCTGGCCCGTTTTTGAACATTCTTCGTCACGCTTCTCTCTCTCGTGAGGTCTGCGCGTCATCAGCGCTTGCCGCCCCTCACTTCCCTGACATGTCAGGGCCTCTATGGCCCTGTTCGATAGCTTTGAAGCCCTCTATGTTTCCTGTCGTTCGGTGCTCATCTGAAGATCTGTTAGAGATTACCTGCGTTTACCATGTGTCAGGATCTGCATTATCAATACGCACCGGAAAACCAGCTCGCTTGAGAAGGCATCGACATGGATTCCAAACGCTAAGCGGAAACAGCTCTAATCTCTCCGACTTGGAGAAATGGGTGTATTGCAGAAAACAATCCGAACGACACATCAATGGCAGATTTTGACACGTAGCCTATGAAGCGAATCGAGCGGCGTCGTCTAACGGGGTGTTTAGAAGTGGATGGAGGATTGTGAAGGCTTACTGACGGGGCAAGAGGAGATGGTACACTGACGATATGGGGGGCGGCCGTTACCCCGTCTCTGAGCCTAGAGCAGAAATGGGCGGTACCTTTAAAGATTCGTAATAAAGCCACACGCGCGTTGTGTCGTGCTTCAGCGGCATGACAATGGCGCATTACTACGCATCGGCCGGGGAGAGCAGAGATGAGAGAGAATGGGAGGGGAGGCGAGAGAAGAGGGGTGGGAAGGCGCGAGTTGAGAGTGGGAGAGACGACAGGAGTGATTCTCGATTCGGCGGAGGGGGCGGAGGAGTCGGAGTGGGCGGATGGGGCGGAGGAGGGGTGAGTGGGCGGAGGGGCGGAGGAAGCGGACGTGGGCGGAGGGGACGGGGAAGGCGTACAGGGCGGAGAGGGCGGAGCTGAGTGCGTCTGCTGATGGCGGGTATGCATGCCGCGGATGGATAATAGGACAGAGATGGCAATGCTGGCGAAATCGGTTGCGGAAGAGGGGGGTCGCGGAGAGGGGGTTGCGGAGAGGGGGATTGCGGAAGAGGCGAAGGGCCACATTGGGGGCGAGTCGTGGGTTGTCGAGTGTGGAGTGGTTCGTGTCGTGCCGCTCAGGCGACTCAGCCACCCGTGGCGCAAGGTTAGCACGTGATTAGTACGAACGAGGCTGTGTGTGTGTGTGTGGTGTGTGTGTGTGTGTGTGTGTGTGTGTGTGTGTGTGTTGTGTGTGGTGTGTGTTGCGTCGTGCGTGCGTGCGTGCGTGCGTGCGTGGGTGTGTGTGCGTGCGCGTGTGCGCGTGTGTGCGTGCGTGCGTACGTGTGTGTGTGTGTGTGTTGTGTGTGTGTGTGTGTGTGTGTGTGCGTGTGAGTGTGTGAGTGTGTGTGTGTGTGTGCGTGTGAGTGTGTGAGTGTGTGTGTGTGTGTGTGCGCGCGCGTGTGCGCGTGGGCGTGCGCGGTGTGCGCGCGGTTCGTCTCGAGGGATGACAGGCTCTCAGAGTCATTTGCGTCTTTCCCTCTCTCCCGTGTCCACCACTCACACTCTCCCCTCACTCCTCTTCCCCCTCGCTCTTCCATGCCCCTCTCCCTTTTTCCCTCCCATTTGCTGCTACGGGTGGGTTTGGATGTGGGCGCTGCTGTCTTCTCAGCGTCTCTCCGTGCTCACACCCTCCCCCCCCCTCTCTTCCGCTCCCTCCCTCCCAGCGCTGCTGTCTGCTGTGGGTGTGGGTGCTGGTGGCAGCGGCCATCCTGTCGCTGGTGTTTACAGTGGCATGGCGGCACGCGCAGGCGAACGAGAGGGACGACTTGGAGGCACACTGCGACGAGTGGGCGGCGTTCATACAGGCCAAGTTTAACATCATGGCTGCCAACACACGCTCCATCTCCGACTTTATCCGCGCTTATTACCTCGATAAGTAAGGCCAGAACAGTCTGTGCTTCGCTTCGCTTCGCTTCGTTTCGCCTGCTCTCCGTATGCTTCCTTTTCTTCGCTTCGCTTCACTTCGCCTATCCGCCGTATGCTTGCTTTGCTTCGCCTCGCTTCGCCTACTCTCTGTGTTCTTGCTTCACTCCTCCACGGTCCAGTGCTGGGATGGGAACCTCCCTTTTCAGGCAGGTAGCAGGCCTACTCCACCACACTGCTTCCTCCACCAAAACCCGCCCAATCACCTGCCTGACACAACCCTCCCCCCTCCCCATCCCCCCCCTCCCCCATCCCCCCCCCCCCCCTCCCCCATCCCCCATCCCCCCTCCCCCCTCCCCCCTCCCCATTCCCCCCTCACCCCACTGGCAAGCAGCATGAGGGAGGACTTGCTTGATGTGCCCAAATTCCAGCGCTTCACTCAGGCACTCTCGTCTCGACCACTGAGCTGACCTAAGAATATATTATCATTCTTCCCCTCCCCCTCCTCCCCTTCCGCGGGCAAGCAGCATGAGGGAGGACTTGCTTGACGTCCCCAAATTCAACGCTTACACAGGCCACTCTCGACAGCCGACCCATGGCGTCATGTGAGTTGCATGTGATATGCCTCCATGGCATCATGTGAGAAACATGCGACTTGGCCCATGGCATCATGTGAGGGACATGCGACTTGGCCCATGGCATCATGTGAGGGACATGCGATTTTGGCCCATGGCATTATGTGAGGGACATGCGATTTGGCCCATGGCATTATGTGAAGGCACATGCAGTGTGACCCATGGCATTATGTGAGGCACATGCAGTGTGACCCATGGCATTATGTGAGGCACATGCAGTGTGACCCATGGCATCATGTGAGGCACATGCAGTGTGACCCATGGCATCATGTGTGAGGCACATGCAGTGTGACCCATGGCCATCATGTGAGGCACATGCAGTGTGACCCATGGCATCATGTGAGGGCACATCATGCTAGCTGCACAACCTGACCTGTTGACTCTCAACCATGGCGTCATGTGAGTTGCATGTGGTGTGATCTTGATCGACCCATGGCATCATTTGTTTACATGCGAGCTGACCCATGGCACCTGTTGCGCACCAAGTATGTCTCATGTGAGTAGTTTCTCGCTTCTAGTCTTAGAGGTTGAGGGCTCAAGTTGCAGCGCTTGCATTTTCCCCTCTCATGTTTTGCTCACAATGACATACCCATACTCCACTCATCCCATGCTCACTTTGTTGGCCCCTATGATGTGTCATATGCTGCCATGTGGGCTGTTGCGCCAGTCGTGAACTTTGTTCTCCTCATCAACAACTCGTTCCGTACGAGATGCTGTGGAGAGGAACGCCAACCATTGCATCTACGCCCCCGAGCCCACGGCACGCTCACCTGCTCCGCCCGCCGCGACCTGCCCCTGTACGCACCGATTGTCATCTTCAACTCCCGCAAGGAGTTTAATGCGCGTGTGAACCTCACAGAAGTCTGCTGCTACGACCTCATGTCAGGTGAATCGAAATGCTGGCAGTTTGAGAAGCCTCAAAATTCAAATCTTGAGACGCCTCAAGCCTCACTGAAGTCTGCTACTAAGACCTCATGTCAGGTGATTGGAATGGAAAGGCCGGCCAGTTTTGAAAAGTCTCAAAACTCAAATTCTGCAGACGCCTCAAACTTATCACTGCAGACTGCTGCTACGGACCTCATGTGGATGAGGCCGACCAGTTTTGAGAAGTCTCAAAACACATCTCAAAACTCAAAGTTTGAGACGTCGCAAACCTCACTGAAGTCTGCTGCTACGACCTCATGTCAGCTGAAGTTAAGGGCGTGGCTGTGAGGGCTGCAACTCTCTTGAGAATTCTCAGAAGTAGCTCCAACAGACCTGCCTGCCCCTGTACGCGCCTATTGTCATCTTCAACGCTCGCTAGGAGTTTATTTCGCGCGTGAACCTCACTGCAGACTGCTGCTGCTACGACCTCATGTCAGGCGACTTGAAAGGCCGGGCTGGTTTTGCTGGAGTTGCTTCCGAGGATTTTCACAAGTAGTTCCAAAGTCTAGTAGAACCTCCCACCCGGCCGCCCGCCCGCCCGCCCGCGCTCCTGCCTGCCTGGCGGTTTCTCGAGTATTCACCTTCTTCCCGCCACTCCCCATCCTACTTCCCTGCCTCCCACTGTCACCCATGGGCTCCCACCGCCTCCCACCGTTTCCCATGGCTCTCAGACCCAATGGCAAATGACACAATCCATCGGGCCATCAACTCGGCCTCCTCGGCCACATCTCCTCCCTTCATACGCAAAAACTACACCTACCACTTCATTGCGGATATTTTCCCAGTCTACTCCAACCGCACCACCTTCGCCCTGCCTCCCTCGCCCTCCCCTCCCTCGGTCGCCATCCCTCCGCTCGCCACCCCCGGGGTGCTCCCACAAGGATTTGTCCTCGCGGGGTATAACTTTGCAAACCTCCGATCGCTTGTTGGATTTCAGGAGCTTGTGGAACTAGACGCGAGGGTTTATGTGGTCGATGGTACCAAAGGGGGGGCTTGGGATGGTGCACAGGATGAGATTGCGCAGAATGGGGATGGGACGAATGGGAACGAGCGGGCTAATAGGTGGTTGCCGGCGCTGCTGTTTGATCATGAGGGGGTGGTGGGTGAGGAGGAGATTGGAGCGTGGATGATGGATGGGGAGGGACGGAGGATGGGGGGAGAGTGCGGCGGCCATTGCACATGGGTGATCCTACGAGAAAGTTCTACCTTTTTTTCTGCGAGTGAGTTGTGTTCATGCGGATGGATTTAGATAGATGCATGCACATGTAAGCATGTCGATGGAGGCATTTATGTATTTTGTGCATGCATGCACCATCCATGCATGATGTATGCATGCATTCAAGTAGCTATATGCATACAATCTTACATGTAACATGCATGCACACAGATATGCACGGAACTTACGCGGATATGCACGTATCCCTCCCATCTTATTGCATGCCATTGTTCATGTTGCCTAAATACCCCTCCCCCGCACCTCTCCCTCCCTCCTTCTCTTCCCACCCTCCCACCTCTCACCTCCCACCTCTCGCCCTCCCACCTCTCGCCCCTCCCACCTGTCGCCCCCATCCCACCACAGGCACATCTGATACACGAAGCCGTTCAGCCCCTTTATCTGGATCACAGGGGCGTGCTCTTCCTTAGCGTCTCCACCATCCTCCTCTGGACGAGCATCCAGCTAATGCATGCTTTCGAGTCTGACTGCCAACAACTAGTTGCCGCCCAACATGAGCTACGTTCCGCCCGCTTGGTGGCCGAGGCAGCGAGCCGAGCCAAGGGTGCGTTCCTCACGACGATGTTTGCACGAGATCCGCACACCCATGAACGGCGTGATAGGTAATGTTGTAATATGGTAATGGGAGTAATGTAGTAACACGGTAATGTGGCATTGTGCTAATTGAGGAGAGTCACTCTACAACAGGAGTGGACTACGTGAAAAGTCACACACACGCTGTACGGGTTGGTCGGATCGTTGTCTAACAAGTGTGCATATGTGCGTCACCTACCAAGTAGGTGCAGATTTGCGCAGAAAACGTTTGTCTGCACTGTGCACGTCATGCACTGAACCACATTGCACATGTGCTAGGTTGTAGCATGTGATGCTTGTCGAGCAGGTCGATTTTCGCTAAAAACCGCCTGAACGGAAATTCGCGTACATACTAAAATGCGTCGTCCCGTTACTTGGTTGGCTAGAAGAAGGCCACTAAGTCGGCGCCGACTATTGACGGTCGGCGCCTGATCGATGATTACTTTTGTTTGCCGAGGCTTGACGCCGTCCGCCGACTTCACTTCGTCGGTTAGCGTCTAGTCGGCTTCGCTGTGGTGGGCTTCGCCGAGATCGGCTTCGCTGTGGTCCCGCCGAATTCGATGAAGCAATCTCGCTGACTTCATTTCCCAAGTCGGCGTCGATCACGAAACGCAACCGGCTACACACCTTGCGCACCGGGACAGCGAAGTCGGCTTCGCCCAAGCGAGGGCGGAGCCTTCTCTCATCATTAGTAGCGATTATTGTTGTCTGCATTGAGGAGATATTTTCATTTGTGAAATTACATTATTGTCCAATAAACGCATGCCCCCCTCTCTCTCCCTTTCCTCCCCCCCCCCCTCCTCCCCCCATGCATGCTGAATTTGTTGATGGATACCCCTCTAGATAGGTCGCAGCAGGACTACGCGGAGACGGCGTGCAGCAGCGGGCGGGCGCTGTGTGCGCTGATCAACGACATTCTCGACCTCTCCAAGATCGAGGCTGAGAAGCTCCGCCTCGAGCGCATCCCCCTCAACCTGCGCCCGAGCTCGACGACGTGCTCGCGCTCTTTGTGGAGAGCGCCCAGGAGAAGCGATGCGTGGAGCTTGCGGCGTTTTGTGGCCGATGACGCGCCGGAAATGCTCGTGGGAGATCCGCTCCGTGTGAAGCAGGTGATTGAAGGGCAGGCAAGTGCTTAGAAACGGCAGGTGCTTGGAATGGTCAGGGTAAGGTAAGCTAGATGATGATGCGGATAAAAATCATGGAGCTTGGCACATTAGTTTTATAATGACGATGTGTTGTGCCTGAGGAGCTCACAAAGGATCCGCTTCTGTCAGAATCCCACCCCCTCTTAACCACTGGGATAAAATGGCTTGTTAAGTAGCGGGTGAGTGCGCCCGTAATCGGCCAGACTCTAAACTTGTAACTTTTTGCTATGATGAATCAAATTTTCCAGAGCAGTCATCTGACAATATTTGGTGCTGAGAGACAGGTGCTGTGCTGGTGCTTGTAGGGTCATGGATGGGTGCTTGGCAACGTCAGGTGCATGGCAGGCTCAGTGCATGGCAAGGTGAGGTGCATGGCAGGTCAAGTAGGGTCAGGTGCATGGCAGGGTCAAGTAGGGTCAGGTGTGGCAGAGGTCAAGTAGGGTCAGGTGCATGGCAGGGGCATGGCCTTTCGTGGAGCCGCTTGGGCTGGATTCCTTAGTTCATCA